AAAAACATAAATATACAGAAAAAATGCTTACTAACACACATTTACATACACATACATAATGGCAACCATACACGCACAATATAATCAGATAACCCAACAGCCTGAAAGCATTAAAGCGGCATGCCATGCAGTGTATCAATAACAAAAAACATGCTTAGGACAAAAAAACAAAAATATGTTAAACTGTGCACTCCAAACGGCATCTGCATCTGAAAGCAGCGGATTAATTCAATAGCCTTTGGAAAGCTGAATCTTGCATGTTTTCTGGTTCGGAAAGATAAGAAGAACATGCTCATATTAAACATGCAATCATCTATTCTATGAAGATTAATACATACACACTTGGAAAACCCAGAAATATATTTATGTTAACACACTTTATCCAAAAAAACACAGAAGATTTAGCATTTCACTGTAACTCACACTGCACCACACACACTCAAAAATGACCAACATTCAAGAAGAAGCAACAATTAGTTCAGATAAGGAGTGCAATCAAATCTTATATGAACACTGATGTGATTAATGTCACTGCACGCTCAGGAAGCAGTTTCCTCATTAAATACACCGTGCTGATAGCTGCTGATCAAACAAAAAGTTCACAAAACTTAGAAAAACACTCTACAGAATGATCACAAATGATCAATTTAACAGTTGAATTGTAAAGAAAAAACTGATAACAGGTGTTGATAACTGATAACTGATAATGTGCAGTAACTGCCAGATACTGTAAAAGGTAAACTAAAATGTCTTTATACATTGTTTGAGTTGGCATTGATTACCTTTAAAGGGCTCTTCAGTACCAATTTATAATGTATTAATTCAATTTGTTAAATCATTAGTCAATGCTTCATAAAATAATTATATTCCACCCGTATTGAAATATATAATTTGTTACTGTAATGATGATGTAATTTATTGGATTAACATGTTTTATTATATTTTCCATCCATTTTCCTGAACACTTTTGCTACCAAATTTATACAAGGTTTCTGCAGGCTTTTTAAGGCTTTTTAATGACACTGAATGCAATTTAATACCTTTTTACAGTCATGCCAGGCAAAGGATGACGGAAAACCAGGACAATAAGGCCTATATTTATTTATTAAGTACATAAATGTATATTTATATACACATTTTGTCAGTACTGACCATTTGTATAACAATGATTCCTAGTAGCCAATGTATTAGTTACATCTAGCTAAAACTAGGGCTGTCTAATACAGCTCAGTTGAAAGGTCAGTTTTTGTTTGTTCTTTTTTAGAGAATCAATTCTTAGGATCATTTTGGAGAATGTAGTTTGTGCTGATGTTGAACTGTTTATTTAGTAGGCATCAGGATTCTGTTGTGGGAAGGATTATGGCATCGTGTGTTTATTACGTGAGGTCTAATTAAGTGTGGGGGTGTTGTTTTGGAAGTTGGTAGCAGTGGCCTGAGGACACAGCGGCATCATGCCTCTCCCCTCTCACTCCCTATCAATTTAGTTTCACCCCTCTCAGCTGCTGCGTGTGCACCAGTCTCACCTAATAAAGCTGAGCATCGTCACACTGGCGTGAACTGTCTGCTTGACGTAAGTTTTGTGGTTTATGTGGCCCTGAAGCTTGAATACAAAACTGACCTGTAGTTTCTATTTTAGAATGTAGATTGAAGGAGCTATTCAGGATAATGGAATCTTACATTATCATGTGTATCAACTAGTACTGTTTACGCTGATTTATATGGCAGTAACACAAACACCTGTACAATATAATCCAATCCAATCTAGTGGCTTTGTGACTCATGCTTGCAACGTTGAAAATGTTTAGTTGGTCCACACTAAAATACCTAAATAACTACTGGATAGATCAGAGGTGGGGCCACATGCGGCTCCTTAGTCCCTCTCCAGTGGCACCCTGTGACTTCCACAAAAATTATATGGAAATGAATAATGGTTATTTTTCATATTATCATTGTATGTGATTCTTACATTATCCAACTGTAAAGATGTGTAGCCATTACATTGTATAATAATTTTATTATTAATAATAATAATATTTCATCAACCAAAATGTGTTACGTTCTGACCTTTACTTATATATTTTGCCAAACCCCAATAACAGTGGCTACTTGAGTCTCCCTAGCAAGACCAGCTATGGATTCCTAATCCCAAAAGAGGATAAATCTCAGAAGAAAAATTTAATAAAGAATTTAATAGTGCATGTATAGATTTGTTTGCTTTCACCACCAATGGTGCTGGCTTACCAGTATGCTTGATCTATTGCGGCTCCATATATATTTATTATATATATAGATATATTTATTTATTTATTTGGCCAAAAATGGCTCTTCTGATAGTAAAGGTTGCAGGTACAGACATGTATGTTTCCCATAAGATGAATTGCGATAGTTTTGACCTCATGATGCCATTTAATTTACTACTTTGGTACTTTATGATCAAATACCTGCAAAACTCCAGAATCCATCCACTGTAGCGCCCACTGGTTTTAACACATTTATTTGTATATATTATATCATATGGGTATTTTATTGTTAAAAACTGCAGTTGCCATACAAAGATTTATCAGTATGTCTACGCTTTAACATTAAAATGAGACTTCAAGTGATTAAGGTTATGATTTCACTTTGTATGTTTTGATTTGTTGGAATGAAGAACTCCTTTAAACAGCACACTGAAGACCTCCAGCACAGTCTGAATGTTAAACAGGTTACTCCTCGCTGTGCGCTCTTCTGTAATCCAATAAACATTTGTGTCAAGGCAGTATTGGAGCTTAAATTGTCACTGGTAGATAAAAAACCATGTGCTGCTGCTAAATGCTGGTATTAAGCTTCTCAGTCTCATTCATCAGTTCAAATTATGCATTAGTACGGGACGATGCTGCCGAAATACAAATAATATTTTTTTTCAGTGTTTGCATTTAAAAAAAATTAAGCATCAACTTGAAAAAAGGAAAACGATGAGTTGGGAATTGTGTGTAAAGTGAGGTTTGAAGGGAAACCTTAAAGTAAATCATGAGTATATCACCTGTTAGCATGGAGATGGACACAATAATGTGATTTATTTAAAGACAAATAAGCTTTCAAATCAATATGAATATGACAGATTCAACCTATATAATGTTGTGTGCAAACCTTTTTTATGATTAGAGACATGCAATTTTCTGTTTCATGAGGCAACGTAAAGTAATGTAACAGTAGTGCAATGTCGTCCTAAGACATTATGCCAAACAGTGTTTCACACCTTTTTAAAAAAGAATAATAATACAGCTTGAATACTGTGTGCTCAGACACAAAAAACAGACAACACCTATTTTGCTGACAATGAACAAGACTCAACATGATTTATTGGGCTTCTAAAAGGCTAGGATCTTTTTATTTACAGTAAATGTGAGTCTCTTTTGGTTTCTTCTATTTATTTTTGTTATAAACTGCACTAAATGAAATCCCACAGACTTTTTTTCTAATTGCCCACACTTTTCACACAATTCACCATCCTACGCTGCAAACTTTATCCATCTGGCACCAAATTACAGAATAGGAAAATGCAACATGGATCACAGTAGAGCTGAAAGGATTAGTCGATTAGTCGATTACTTAATAGGTCAATCAAGAGACAATTGATCTGCAAGTATTTTAATAATCAATCATTAATTTATTCTATGGATTTTAGGTTCTTAAATTTGAGAATTTGCTGATTTTCTCTGTCTTACGTTGCAGTAAATAAAGTCAACTTTGGGTCTGTTTTGCAGTTTCATAGAACAAAATTATGCAATTAATATGAAAATGATTAATGATGAGATTAACCAATAATAAAAACAAACGTTAGTTGCAGCGCTAGATCACACGTTATATTTGTAAAATAAAAAAAGACTTGTCGTCATAGAATTACAGCTAAAAATATATTTATATATGTTTTCTAAATGTATAGCCTTGTGGGATTTCACACATTATATAGTTCATTAGTAGTCTCATTAGTGGTGTAAATGACCATCAGTGTGATGCTCTCAAGCTTCTGTCAGCGCTTCCCTCTTGGTATGTGTCATTGTTCTACTCCTCTACATTTGTCCGAATTGACTTCAGTTACTAGTTAGTTTACGTATTTAGATAAATAATAATATAATAAATAAATAAATTATTATATATTGTTATTGGTTAAGATAAGATTTATTGACCCCCTGGGAGGAATTCACAAACTGTATATGAAGTAACTCAAATTTGTCCCACCATTACCAGCTGCAACATCAGCATCAATAATTATAATCCAATAATATAACTGACATTATTATCATATGGGTCATTATAAGCATATTTTGGTTCATATTTGCACTTTTACTTAAATAAAAGTTTGAATGGATGACTTTTACTTATAATAGATTATTCCTACACTTTGGTATTGCTACTTTTAGTGCTTCTTCCACCAATACAGGTGACAATCAAGAAAAATTATTTCAGTCTGAGTGTCGTAGGTTGTAATTAAAAAAAAAAAAATGAACAGGACAAATGTCCAAGTCTCAGCATAAGTGAGCTGAGTAGCTGCTTTCATCATCTTCCATTCTTAGCCTTTTTCCCCAAACACAAAGGAATATGCATATGTATATATATATATACTGTATATGTTCACACACACACACTATATTTACAGTGTGACTCATGCTTGGAGGTGGGCTAGTTCAGTTTGAAAGTATAAGAAAGGGGGCGGGTTGAGAGCATGAAATGAAAAGCTCCTGAAGACACAACAGCACAACCATCACCACCATCACCACCACGCAGCATTCGGGTCTCAGCTGTTCAATAACCTGAGTGTAAGTCATGTGTGAAACAGGTTTAAGGAGTTTCAACCCCGACATGCTCGGCAGAAACATTTGACAGAAACAGCTACAGAACTGGCAACATCATCATCACAGACCAAGGTATGCTCACAAACCCAGCTAGAGTCAGACATCTCAGTAGCTTGAGCTGAGGAATGCAAACAGCAACACTTTCTGATCTTTAAAGCTCCCAGGTATGTTGGCAGACAGATGGCAGTCAAATCCAAACACGGGGACGGTTCAGGGACAGGGCAAGACAATCAGAGGGACCACATACACACAGCAGACAAAATTATAACAATAGCAGGGGGAAAAAGAGAGGTAGAAGGGGGAGAAAAGATAGCACGGGCCATCATACGGACTCGACGAGAGAAGAAGCAGTCTCACAGACCTGATCAGCGAAAATCCTGGTTTTTGGCTCAACAATCACGGGTCCTCCCCTTAACTCATCCTCCACAGCCATGAGTCTTGGAAGCAGAGAGAGAGAGAGATAGGGGGAAGGGGGGAGGGGGGGTGACAGAAAGAGAGGGAGTATTATGAATTCTACTTAACAAATAAGTAACAAGAAGTTGAGCAGGTGCATCTCAAGCATCTGTCTCAACAACACCACAGTGATAAGATGTTGGTTACCTGTATCTCAAATCTGAATCCCAAACCTGATAGGCAGCTCAATCTTTTAAGCCCATGCAAATGTTGAGCAGCAGTAACCCAAGCCATGCTTTCTGAGGCACTGCCAATTTTCACTGGTGGAGCCTTTTTTTCTTCTCGCCCCCATGGGATTCATCAAAGCGTTTTTTTACCCGATTTAAGGTGTTTTCCAAGTGCAATTACAGCCAACTGTGGACAATTACGCTCAGTTATGTGAAGTGAATGGTTCAATAACAGATCCTGATCATCCCCAGGGAATTGCCCATCTTATGTAACATGGACTGACCAAGGCACTGGTGGAAAATCCTTTGACTAATCATTTCAAAGACTCCGCTCGCAGATATGAGCGAGCTTACTGTTGCATTTTTCACGAGCCATCGGACAGTGCAGGTTTCCCAGCTCTCGTGATTATCCAAGTGCCAGGGATTTACTCCAAATACGGTCATTCAAGGATATTTCTCACACAAGGTTATCTTGCAGTTACACAGCCAACTGGCTAAACTGTGAATATTGTTATGGTGGTGATAAATGCCAAATAGAAGTTAGTGTGAATAAAAAAAAAGTCCTCTGCCCATGATAGATTTCATTTGATTGACTTTCCATCCATTTTACAAGATTTTAGAGCAGCAGAATAAACATCCTTACAATATGTTGACATAAAATAAGCTTGCTGGAATATTATCCCTTTATAATAGTGCACGAAGGAGTAACTTCATCTCAATTTGTCTGGATAAAATGACCAGAAAGATTCTCACTTGTGCGTTCATTAGGCCGCTAAGCCAATGAAATAGATGACAGGAACCTTTATTTGGCACCATCTTTCACTGCAGGATAAATATACCACCAATCAAGTGATATTGTGTCACTCAAGGCTTTCAGCACATTCATATTAAAGTTTTATTCAGAACACAAAGAGGCACATGTTTGACAATAAAGAACGAAAATCCACAGGTGAAGTTTCAAACAGAAGTGTTTGGATGTTTTATTCCACAAATAATGTACAGTGTTGAGAGTTATTTTACAAAAGAAGAGAATAGGAAAAGAAAAGAATCAATCATACTGTAAGCACAGACAGAAATATAAGCACTGTCCCAAAAAACAATGGAATGTAACATGGGTATACAGCATTAAGATTTTGACATGACTTCAAGAGGCAGACAATGATTCATGTGGGTGATATGTTACAAAAAAAAAAAAATTAAGCTTTTTATATCCAGTTGTACTTCAAGTAGTGTGCTTTTGAGGTCAAGTCGTACATGTAGTCAAAACAATGTGTGTATCTACCAACATGAGGTCACAATGTCTGAATATTTTGCTACAGAGAAAAAAGGCAAGAGACAAAGGTGTCAAATAGGATGAAAAGTTAATGTAAAGTCAATGGAAAGAAACAACAGACCTGGATCAAACATCAGCTGCAAATATGTTCTCTTTTTTTGCCAAGTGCAACACATAGTACGTGCCTTTGACTGAAAACTTACCTCTCAACATCTGATTGGTGCTGACGCAGCAGACCCCCACCCATCTGGTTGAAACAAACTAAGAATTATTTGCAACCATTTGACACAGGTCTGTATGAAAGTGACTATAAACCCTTGGCTTTTGCTACAAGCCATGTCAATCAGACCAATATTGATCACACACACATCAAGCCAAAACTCATCACCACTATGAATTCATTTGCAAGATTTGAACATAAGTTTTGCCGTAGTACAATCTATACAGCCTATCAATATATTCTTGCTACAAAAGAGGCGGATATACTGACACCAGAATATTATCTATATCTCTGGATAGGGAAAAGGAAAATAATATAGTTGCCCTTTTAATAATAATATTTAAATCATACTGTAACTGCATAAGTTAAATGACAGTACTGTCTAGCTTTCTTAAACAACTATTCTGATCACCATGTCACTGGACACCACCAATGACGGACTGCAGGTCAAAAGTCATACCAAAGCATATACAGCAAAATCATACAGATATAAGAAAATCTTTGTCGCTCTAATTCATAAATAATATATCAATTGCAGTCTTTCATTTAAAAAGCAGATAAATTCACAAACACCATACAGATAAGCCAAAAACAACTTGAGAACTTAAGAACACACTTTGCAGAACATACTGTTGTCAAAGAGTCACGTCATTGTTGTCATGTTGTCTCTGTGGTATTTTGCACTTTACAGTATTCCAGGTCTTTATTTTTTCTGTTTAGATACTGTGGATGGCACCTGGTAGAAGATTTTGGCAGGAAGTTACTGTTTCTTTATGTACACAAGATGCACACAATATACCTTAGCAGGATCCTGCATGTGCATTTGCACAGACAGCACATGTAGACATATTGTATCTATTATTGCGCTTCTCCTGCTAAAAAGTTAGCTATTGCAAGGTTAAAATAGTTATAATCTCACTCTCAATAGAATTCTTATATATATCTCATATATTATTATTATTATGGCTCTTGCATCACAGACTTTAATATGGTATGGATTATAGTTAAAAATAGATTATTACTATGACAGGTGCATTTAAGATCATTGATTTTTTTTTCCCCTACTGCAAACTCACTGACGTAAATCTGTTGTTCAGATCACAGCAAACAGCTTGGGAAAGATAAATAGTTTATATTTATAATTAACAAAATGCATTAAAATATTTTAACAAAAAAAATTGGAGAGCCTGTAGCCAACTAATGGGATCACTGTCCTAAAGAAAAAATATAGATATAAGTGCTACAGGTAAAGTGGATTCAGTGTTTTCAGTGGATTTAACCTAGCATGACCTAAAACTCAATATTTGGCTTTGGTTTAAATTAGATTGTTGAGAACAAAAAGTGTATCTTGTCTAATGACAGATATTGGATTTGCTCTGAGCTTAACGTAACGTTTATGCACAGAACATTAAGGCTTCTCTGAAAGAAAATCTCTGACACTTGAAACACAAAGCTGAGTGTTTTAGTTCTGCAGATAAAGAGATATTATATATATCCAGCCTACATAGGAGCCATGAATTCAGGATCACGTACACTCCTTTTTGCAGAACCTGAGCTTGCATTTGCATCAACATAATGTCTTGAATGTGAAAATTTAACATAAAAGTCAATTTAAGATGAAATATAACATAAGGCTATGGTTACACTTGTCATTGCACTAAGATTTTTGAGTCCAATCAATCCAATATGATGGCCTGAGACCATGCTTCTTGGAATCCACACTTTCTGTACTCTTTGCATTGCTTATATGTATGTTAAAATTAAAATGTATCCAGACGATGCACAAGTGTTACAATGCATTCGATGACATGGTCTGGCTCAGTGAATTGTGAGTAAAATTGACTCGGAAGCATCCAGATCTGCTACTTAATTCATCTTTGTGTGGTCAGATGATAAAAGTCACACAAGTTGCAAGTGTAAGCCTCGGAGATATCTGTTTCCTGCACACTTTGCTTTGTGTGTGCAGCAGATTTACTGTATTCGCTTTAAGCTTATACTCCAGGGGAGCAGTAATCAATGGTTTGGCTTTAAGTGCTCTGATGAAGTTTCTCTATAATGTGGCATATTTCCTTTATGCCTTCATGCTCGAATCTTCATCATAGTCTGTGACTCTCTCCACTCCTCATATTACACCATAGCATCGTATGAATGTAAAAAAGAGAGAGAGAGGTATCGGTCTCCATGTTCACCCTGTAGAAACATACATCAGCAGTCCTTCAGTGAACATGGTTCACCTTGATTTAAAATGGAAGAGCTAATATTAAACCATTGTCTTCCATAGTCCTGTGCCTGAAGGTCCAAAACAATGCTCTGTGTTGCTTTAAAAAGTGCAGACATGTTTCTGAAGTTATCAAATTTTCAATCCTCTTGTGCTTTTACAATGCAATCTCGTGGGAGAGTCAATTGAAAATTAAGCTAAGTGGAATCACCTGAAATGATCCCAAGATCCAGTTAATAGCTGTGTTCATAAAAGTGGCTGATGATAAGTGCAACAGCACAAGGATGTGGGATGGTGTTTTAAGGGAGGTTTTATATACAAGGTTAGGGCGTTAAAGATGTTTTCCCATAAAAGACGAGCAGGACTGTCTCTGTCTTCATTCCATGTCTTCTTTCCTGGAGTGGATTAGAAGTGGCAATATTCTCTGTCACAGACACCCTTCAGTTGCAGACCACAGACTATTATAAGATGTGAACAAGAAAATATTGTACAGAGCCTTTTTTTCATCTGAACTCTCTCCACAGTAAAAAATAAACAAAACTAAATTTGAGCAGCATTGCTAATGTGCAGTCATACTTAAAATGCTCAAGGAATCCACAGCAGACATTTGGTTTTCGTGCCTGAATACATCTGAGGTACGATCAATATTCCACTATTTTCCCATCAACTACTTAATTTTGTGGTCAATCAATAAAAACTAAAGACTGCACTCAAAATTGCACCATTACAATTTCACACAAGCACTCCATAAATTAGGACTCAGCTGGAGTTCTTCACAGTCATCCAAATATGATGCTCTTGAATAACAAGTAAACCATGTTGTGAGGTTATGATAGCAGATTTGCTACAAGAGCTTAGAGGACAATCAAAGACTCCTTTGTCCAGCTTAACTCAGTTGAAAAGAACCAACCACCAAGGGAACATGCCCTGCACATTTATCAAAGAAAATACAGATCTCTGTCTTCCTCATAATAGTCTCTCATTTAATTTGTCACTCATTACATGTCTGCAGCTTTGGCTTTCAATATACTGTGCAGCTCTCTGCCTTCTTCCCAGTGCTGTAGTACTTAATGAAACTGAAACAACCTCCTACCCTCCAATATTCTTTGCAAGATAACAACCCTTGTAAATAGAGTCATATTCCAATATGCAATATATGTATCTGAAGAAAAAACATCACTGCTTCAAGTTCATGTTTCACTCTTGTTAAATAGAATCCAATAGTTGTACTGTGTCAACCAAAGACTTCTGCTTCCACTTACTCCTCAGAAGTATGATAATGCATTTTAATTAATGTTAGCAATCCTTATCTGAGAGAATATGTCACTTTTTCCATATATTTTGGAAGAAAACTCATATAGTCTATTCACCGAAGGCATCACAATAAACAAAAATAATGTCAATGTGGCCTGCCAATGGCCTCCCTATAAATGACCACATGAATTCTTAGCTGTCTTTTGCCCTCCATCCCAATAACAGCCTCCATTTACCTGCTAATTATTCCTTTAATTTGGGAGTCTTTCTCCACTTGCTGTAGCCGTAGCCTCCTCTCACTGTCATCGAGTCGATTCTGGTACTGTAGGAGGATCTTATTGGTCTGCTGCTCCTGCGTGAGGAGCCTCCGCTCGTACTCCTCCAGCTTTTTGTGGGACATCACCAGGCGCTCCTTCAGGGAGTTGATCTCCTCCTCGTACTCCCGTACCTGTGGCAAAGATACGGATAAAATGCTAAATTAGAAATGTTTAAAGCAGGTTCGTGTTTATATGCCTTGATTTCTCAGTGGGTAGTGGATTTGAAAGTTCTTTATGCACATAATGTGGCTGTTGCATGAAGGCTGATGTACAGTGAATATACCAAACACTGAAAAAGATTTATGAAGACTTGGCTGATAGCTGTTATTTTCCACACTGTTTGAGACCTCTGGACTTCTGATATGAGTGCCATCTGCTCAGCAATATTACACATAACTTTATGTTCTTCTGAATTAGACTAAGCGTGAATCAAAGTTTTTTTATTTATTTAAAGGGCAGTTGAGAAACTTAAAAGTGATACCCACCCTGTCCATGCGTGACTCATCCATGCTCTTTGAGTACTCCTTCAGTTTGAACTCTTCACGGTCAATCCGTGAACTTTCAATGTCAGCCGACAGATGAGGCATGTTGGAGACCCAGGCCACTGTTCGCTCATTGGCTGGGGTTGGGGGATTGAGGGTAGATGGAGACTGGGAGCCCTAGGAAGAAAGGCCAGCACGCTGAATATGAGAACATGAGTTCTTAAGTGGATGAGAGTCAGTTTCATAATAAAGTGATTATGTTGCTTTTATCCAAAGTGCCTCAGAGTTCACACATTTTGAGCATCGCTGGGCCCTGCAGGTACTCAAGCTCTTATTTCTGACAATGTTATTGCTGCGCTCTACTCAATGAGCTACACACATGCACACACAATTAAAAGCCACAAACAGTAACTGACATCTTCCACACATTGTTGCCATGAGCAGAGGCATTGCTAAAGAGAGAAACAAAAAAGAAACAGAATAAAATGAATTCAGAGTGTGCAGATGTTACCTGTTTATTCATGGTGGGTTTGAGCAGGTGCTGTTGTTGAGCCTGTTGCTGTGGTGACTGCTGAGTGCTCTGACTCGTGGTTCCCTGTGGACTCTGGCTTTCCCTGACAGAGCTCTGCTGGTGGGGCAGGCCCGGGGCAGTGTTGTCTTTGACGGACAGCTGCCGAGACCCGTGCTGCCTGCCGCCGTAGCCGGACTCTGGTGACTGGAGGAGATTCCCACTCTGCGGTCGTGTTTTAACCGGAGCAGCAGGTGCAGCAGCTGAACTGACCGACAGCTGATGGGAGGTCTGGGACTTGACACGCTGGGTGGGAGGCGGGGCAACAGAACTCTGGCGCATGGGTTGGACTGTGGAGGGGGGCGTGGTGGCCAAAGAAGAGTGGGAGGTCCCTGTCTGGGAGGTCATACCCATCAATTGTTGTTGCTGTTGGAGGTTATCCTTAGGAAGAAAACAAGCAAATATCAAATAAGCATTTTCATTGCTTGTTTCAGTTATTTTTGGGGCAGATGATGTTACTTTGAACTTCATGGGCATTCAGACTGAAGGCAGCCCTGCAAGAGGCTGCGGTGGTTGGGCGTTTTGCTTCAAGTAGATAATGAGACAATGAAGTACGATCCAGGAAGTTCAGTTTGAGTGATGGATTGATGAGTTTGTCTTTTCAGATGCATGTCATCCCGTCATTTTCTTCCCATGTTTCCTGTCTGTCTATTGTCAACTCAGTCAAATATATGTTGCAATGAATGATTATTAGATCTAGTAGTCTGCCAATATTGCTTTACTAACTATTAAATTAATATTTGGGTCTTGGAAATGTCAGAGAATAGTGAAAATGTTGAACAACTTCCTAAAGCCCAAGGTGACATCTTCCTATTGCTTGTTTTATCCAACAAACAGCCCAATAGATCTCCACAACTGTGAAGCTGTAACTAGAGATTGTTTTTTTAATTGACTATTAAAATAGTTGCTGATTCCTTTCCTGTCGATGGACTAATTGTTTTAGTTCTTTTAATTATTTAACTTCTTTCTAAAAAAAAACCAAACACTCTCAGGTCTCAAATGTGAGGATTTTCTGCTTTTATCTGATTGTTATATATTGAACATCTTAGGCCATTTTTAGGCGATTGGTCAGACAAAGCAAACAACCTACGGACACATTGGGCTCTTGGGAAATTGTGATGGCCATCATTTCATACACTAAACAAAAAAATTATTGATTAAACAATAATGAAAACAATCATCAGTTAAAGTCCTAAATCCATCAGAATAATTTAAAAGAGACAATCTACACATAGTGGCTTTAAGATGTCATGAGAATATAATGAACATATATCTACCTGCACTTGCATGGACATCTGTCTGCGTCCATATTCAGCCCTGCTGTAGTCGTCACTGTAGCTGTGTGAGTGGATGATGCTGGGTTGGCCCAGGTGACCGTCCCTGGTCCTGAGGGTGGACAGGTCCTCACTGCGAGAGAACCCCCCGTGGGCGAACTGTGGGATGTAGGCCTGGTGAGAGGGCTCAGGGTCTGGGGCCAGGAGCAGGGGTGCTGGAGGTTGAGCCCGGCTGTGCTGGTGGTGGAGCTGTTGCTGTTGAGGCCCATCAGCAGTCGCCAGATGAAAGAGTGGATTCTGGAAGGAAAGCGGGTAGCGCATGGCGGCGGCCTGCTGTTGCTGCTGCTGGGATAGCGAGTCGGTGGTGGTGCCCATCTGGCTCAGCTGGCTCAGCCGAAGGCCGCCGGACATGCTGGAGCCGCCAGAGCCAGCTGACAACCTCCCACCGGCCCGCAGCTGGCTGCTCAGGCCCGACCCCAGGCCGCCACCGCCTCCGCTGCTCAGCCCTCCGAAGCTGCCCATGCCGGCGATGGAGGCCTGGGAGGAGTTGAGCATGTCCACCGACTGCAGGTTAGACACGCTGTTCATTCGGGAATCCTGGAGGTCCATCATAGATACGCTTTTATTGACACTGAGCACCTAAGTAATAAGGGATATGAGAGGCTAGTGTGCCCCCTGTAATTATGTATGTTAGGTGGCCACGGATGATATGGGTGAGGGTGGTGCGGGTGTTTTTACCGCGAGGCCTGGATATCGGAATGCCTCAAAGTATTTCCCAGGAAATACCGCTAGGATGAGTTGCGTGGTGAATCAGTGGAAAAAAAGCAGATGTCATGATATACTACAGCCTCGATCACACGATGGCAGATTCTATTAAGTATGACTAACATGCACGTCATACTAACCTCACTTTGATAAAGATAAACCTAGTGGATGGGATGATGATTCCCCAGATCAGAGTGATAAAACTCACCTTAGGGTCTGGTTCCGTGATGTCCGAGCTGCTTGTGCAGTAGGCTGGGCTGGATCGGGCCAGGGGAGGGCGTGATACGTAAAACATGTCTTTGGAGGATGCTCGATGGGGATGGTCACGGTCCTGAAAATTCATCTGGGAGCGGGATGGCATGACCCCTCCGGTGGAGGTAGGGGAAGGCAAGCGAGTGATATCTATAGAGCTGGAGAACAGCAGTGAGTAAGGCCAACAATAGCTGATTATAAAGAATAGGAAGTCTTTGGGTTTTGGAGTGTTTGTCAGACAACAAAAAATATTTGATGACGTCACTTTGGGATTTGGGAAATTTTAAAGACTTAACGATTAATTGATTAATAGAGAAAAAAAAAGTTAATAAATAAAATAACTGTTAGTTGCAAGCAGTGTTGGGCAGTAAAGCACTACTAACATGTTAAAGTAATGTGATTACTTTTTTCAGTAGTATGGGGATTACAACTAAAAATTCAGTAATTACATTACAGTTACTAATCCCAGTAGTGCTTCATTAGTTTGACAAGCTAAGCTAAGATATCCATTTAGAAAAGTAACGTTATTACTTTGTCAGTTATTACAGTTTTCAACTAACTTGCCCAACACAGTTTGCACGTAATGCAAAGTTTTCCTGCACAATTGCAAGATTATTTTTCACAATAACCAGTTTCATAATACTTCAAATAACATAAAAACAACAATTAACTGTTTAATATAGCTATTATGATCACAGGTGTCACCTACCTATTAAGATCCCTCATCATGAGGTTTTGGAACTCGGATGAGATGCCCCTGTTGAAGCTCGGCCGTGACAGCAGCCTGTCTGTCTGTCTCTCCTGCACCCTGTCTGTCTGATGGCTGGGCTGCCTCTGGAGGTGTGGGTTACGCAAGGCCATACTGATGTCATTCAGGAGGCGAGGCAAAGGACCCAGTTTGATAATGGCATCCTGTGGTTAAAGGAATAATGAAAAAAAGGAATAATACATTTTGAGTTATCTAATGTAAGGGTTTCATTAATATGCCACATATCCACTTCCACTCCCTTGTCACTTGTAGGTTAATGACAGCTCAGGCCTGCTTAATGACTTACAGCCTCATTTAGCAAAAATGTTTGAGGTGAGAGAGGAGTGAGACATTCTTCACTAATTGTTGAAATTCAATCATACACGTCCTGTCTGAGTTTGGTTTAGTTTAGTTTCACTGTGATAAAACCTGCAGTGATGTACTGTGCAAGTGGTGGACACAGTAAGATGTGAAACTGTACAATATAAACAGCAACAAAAATATGACTTTTGTTGTCTAAGGAAATTTTATTTCTTATTTTATTTATTATTACTAAATAAGGAAAATGAATAATTGATAAAAACCCAAGAAATGTCCTGTGTAACAAGATGACAAATATTAAAGGTATATAAGGTTACATAAAAAATGTCCCTAAAATAGCATTAATATTACTATTGTCTAGAAAATGTGTATGAATAACTGTCTTATTTGGGAAATATTTACACTGTAAGATCGTAGTTTACAATGGCACAGATGATGTGTCATGTTTGTGACTTTGTGAGTTTACCTTGCTGAGCTGAGCCATGACCTCCCAGAGGAGACTGTGCAGTATGGACAGCTCCCTGCCAAGGTCGATGTATCCCTCAAAGCCGCCTGCATTGCTGACACTGTCCAGGTTGGAGATTTCGTACAGGAACTGCTGCATAGAGCCCCACTCCATCTCTAAAAACTCATTCATGAAACACATGTACTCTTCTTTATTGCCAAACCTGCAGGTGGGAAAAGATTGGAAGGCCAGTGAGGAGATAAGCAGGTAGAGGGTATGAAAGGGAAGAGAAAGGAAAAGAGAAAAAACAAGTGAGCAACACATGATGGTGAAATGAAATGTCAACTGTCGCCATCGATGATAACTTCTAAATTGAGGTTTCTTATATGTAAAGTCCTTTATGTCCACTGCCAACTTTTCAAGACCAAAACATTACAGTACATTTTGTTGTGAATCTATGAATGTGAAATGAAAACAGCACATGGTGCCTTTAACACATTACTCATTGGAGCTCAAATAAACCAAACTAAGACAGATTTGAGTTGCAGCACAGTGGTTCCTGTAGACAAACTGTGTGTGGTCCAACAACTTGTAACTGCACTTTGACCTTTCTTGCACAATATGACGTAAAATTGGGGAAAATAAATACAGTGGAAATTCATCACACGTTATGCCGTTTTTTATTAAAATTGTGAACAAATATGCTACTTCTCATAGGTTCAGTATGAAAAGAGGTGTAACCCAGGGTTCACTCTTTGGCCCACTAATATTCACCTTTTTTTGTTATTCTGCCTATATGTAGATTTCACTGTTGTGCCCATTGTCTCAGTTAAGCTTGTGCCTATTGAAATATTTTTAGTTTAAAAAAAGGTTTAGTTTAGTTTATTTGTAAACTACTTGCAAGAAGAGATTGGTGGCTTCTATATTTGTTATGTTTGATTAATTATGAGTTTTAACTGTGTGCTTGCTGTCCAGCAGACAGTAGTGTACAAGTTAGTGACTGGATGCAAAGTGTGAACGCTGTAAATATAATGAAATAAAACTGACTTGGAGAAGTTAGCCAGGTTTTGCACTACTTTTGCGATTAGGGTGAGCGTGCGTGACGTCTGCTCGTCGGGATACTCCTGGGTGAGATTGAAGAGCGACGGGGACATGATGGCAGGGCACAGGAAGCGCAGGAAGAGAGAACCACTGATGAGACGGTCGGCAATGTCTTCCCGACCTCTCTCAGCACAGCGCACTCTCCAGGAGGCAAAAACTTCCTTTAGCTCTCGAGGGAAAACACTGTGAAGAGGATAGATTAACAGGATCAGAAACAAACTGTGTAGAATTTCTTCAGCTGAGAAAAATAAACACACTCAATACAAAGGATTTTTTGCATTTGCTATTTACTTACCAATGGGAGTTAACGATCTTACAGAGTGCCAGTTCACAGCACATGCGGAGATTGGCTTGGTGGTCTGGGAGTACAGAGGGTGGTGTTCTCATGGGGTCCACTTCGCAATTTTCCTCTGACTCATACAAGGCCCTTATGAACTCCCCTAAAAATGACATTTCATTAGTAACAGCAAAATGGCAGAAACTATCGCCAAGATCAGTTCAGTGTACAGGAAGCAGCGACAATAAAAACCAATAGCACAAAAATAAATCAATTTTGGGAGAGTACGAAGATTTTGCATCAGCAGCAAATCCAACAGAGGCCTGACCACAAAACCAAGACGAAGCTGTGAAACTTGGGTGGCAGGCTAATTAGCCAATAAGCTACTACTGTAGCTAGAAGGCAAACCTTCAAGCAAGTAGTTAGCTTTATTTATAAGCTAAAACACCCACATTAAAATAAATATATATATTCATATAAATGAAATTATATATATTATAAATGTGTGTGTAGAAAGTAACTCTCAGAAATAAAGCACATATTACACATTTTACATATTACAGACTAGATATGTAACAACTATATCAGATTAAATAAGGACAAAAATACAGCGAGAGAAATGTTGTTAAACTCAGACTATATCTTGCTCATCCTGATGCAAAGAAATTGATTCAGGTGTTGGTGTTCTTTCCTCAAGAATATCTAAATGGTTTAGCACCTCTATATTTAGCTGACTGCCCCTCCCTGTATTCTCCTAGTCGCTGCCTAAGCTATCAGTGCAGCACTAAATGTACCAACAGTTAAGAGAAAGAAGTATGGAAACGCAGCCTTCTCTTCCCATGTACCTTATGGACCGTATGGACTAATCTTATTTTCAATTTTATTCTTATAATTCTACCCTGTCCTCATTATTTAATCATATTTAATATGCTTGTTTGCCACCTTTTAATTTATTTGTTTAGATATTTTAGGTTTTTTTAATATATACAATTTGATGTGAAGCTGTTTTAGCTGCACTGTATGTATGAAATGTCCTATACAAATAAAGTGTATATTGTTTTATTTTAGAACAAAAGTTTTGTTATTCCAAACATCTTCTCACTATTCTGGCTCACCTATAGCATCCTTGAGGTACTTATGTCCAATCAGTTTGAGGTACTCTTCTATGGCTTTGGTGGCCAGAGTGTTCTCTCTGAAGATAAGGTGTTCTCGGTCGATGAATCTGTCTACCTCACACATCGCCATGTCTGAAAGGAAGTCCTGGGGAAAAGGAGAACTCAATTATTTTCTTTATTATACACAATGTTAATAAGAAATGACTCAGGTTATAAGGATTGTAAAAGCTTTGTTTTAGATCAGTTGCACGTATTTTCACATCACATAGAGGTGTCCCTACCTTAGCTTTCCCTGTGCTCTGCAGTATATGCACCAATGCACAAGCCACTTCCTCTTTGCTCTTGACACTCAGCACGGGCTCCAGCACAGCACACATAGTCCGGTAGTTATTGGTGACATACTCTGCAAACTCCTTGTACAGCTCCATGGGCAGGATGTTCATGGTCTGGAAGCGGGATTTGAGGCGTAGGGATGCATTGATGATCTTACCCCCTCCGACACCAGCTCCTTTGGTGAGGACACTGGGCTGGATGACCGGGTACCACTGCTCCACAAACTGACGTCCAGTGATGCTTGAGATGGGGATGCTTACAAGTCCTAAGTATGTGCTCTTTTCCTAAGAGAAAAAAAGTTGGTATTAGTCGAGGTAAGCATATGTCAAAGAAAAGCTGTCTCATTACATTGGCATGAGTTTTATAAAAAATAATCTACAAGTTTGAAATGTCAAAAAAAGTGAACTTAATGCTTTAGCACTGAATAAATAATGAATAGCAAGACTAACACTGGATCCCTGGAGTGTCGTTTGAAGCTAGAAATCAGTTGTTTTTTTGATATGGTGGTGCCACTCTAGTACTAAACTGAGAGTAGAAATTATTGTTGTTGTTATTGCTATCCATTGACTCACTGCAGCTGAAGATGCTCCCTTTTCCCTCCATCCTAAACTATGGACGTTGTAAAACCATAACTGTTTTGTTACAAAGCCAATAAAGCAAATAACATAGATTAAAGTGCCACCATGGACAAGACCCCTACTGGCTATTGTATTATAAAGCCAGTGAATGACAATGCAGGGATTTTGCATTATGTCACCTCCGCACAGTGTGTTATTTTCTCATCTCTTTCTTTTTGTTGAACTGATGCTCTAATAAACCAAAATGTTCGTAAGGAGAAGGCAGGTTGTGTCAGGGTTGATAAAGATTTATTAATAACTCAGTAACTTTAAAATTCACTTTCAGGAATATCATCACCTTTTAAGTTGATATAGGGAACTTGTTAGAGAACAGGTTCTTATTTACAGTTACAGAGCAATATTATCATTAATTTGGAATGAATTTAAGTCCAATACTTGCTCTCATTTAGCTCTGTTTTGGTCTCTACCAACTCCTGAGGAAAATATCTGGCTCTTTGGCTGTTAAATGCTTCACTATGTTCCCCAGCTAGTTGCAAACTGTGACTGTCTGCTAATTGGTGCTAAGCAGGTAGTGTACAGTGAGCTTTTAGTGCTTTTTTGCTGAAAACAGCTGCCTGCTACGGTCTAAAATGATGCTATGAGAGCAGCGAGAGTGAACCCAAACAGTAAAGTTGTGGGGTTGGACAGTTAAACAATGAGCTGAAAATATAAAGCTGAGGGGAGCTGAAGATGTAGGTCATAATTCTCTGTAAGGGTCGAGCAACTCTTTTTATACTGTCACATTGTCATATGATTCATTTAATTATAAAATGAGCAATTATAGCCACTTTAGAATTCACTTTCAGGTAATTGCTTTAAACAACAGAAAGCTAAAATAGACCAAAGATTACTACAGCGCTTCTGTCTTGATTTGTTGTAACAAAGCGTTCTCAGACTTCTATGTTGCCCTGCAGATCTCTTCGTTACCTTGCGTCTCTTTTTGTCTGTCTCCTTGTATAGATGAAGGCGTAGGTTGCGGACGGCTGGCAGATTGTTGAATTCAAAGTGCTCGCCCCAGAAAACGGTGTCGGTGCGGGGCTTGCTGGTGGTGCGTGCGTACAGCATGTCGTCCAGACAAAGTTCGCAGTAGTAGCGTTTCTTGGCTGGAAGCTCGCGGGCCTCAATAATCCACAGTTTGAGCACATTGTCCACCCTCCGACTGTTGTCCTGCGTGGAGATGAAATCAGGTCAAATAAGGTAAAGTGCATACAATAATAGAGTCATTAAAAAGCTTTATAAGAGAAGATGATACAATGTAGGGGAAAATATGACAAACAGCAAAGAAAAGAGGTCAGAGATATGGAAACAGAGACAGTGTGTATGAATAAAGGGTGACAGCAGGTCAGCCTGCAGGAGAACAGAGTAAATGATGGGAAAGAAATAGCTGGTGACATGGCGGTTGAGCTGCTGTAGATTGTAGGCTGTACTTGATAAATTGTTCTCAACACTGGACTTGAATATAGAAACAGAAGACAGCATGACAGCAACACAGAAAAGAAAGAAAACAGAAGATGTGAAGGATAAGAGGAGGATAGCGGTCTTACTGGGTGAAAAAGTAGAAACTTAAGAAACTTAAAGGTAGAAGGACACTAATGACACAAAGCACATGTGCTGCAAAGACGAGGGACAAACAATGGTGGTAATGTTTCTGTAGACAGCTACACTTCCTAATCATGATCACAAAGCCAAAGCTATATTTGACATCCCCCATGGGAGGAGAGAGTGCCGTGTTGATTGCAGAGTGATGTTTCAGTGAACGGGGGCTGAGTCATTTCAATTGGGCTCAAATGCCATTGTTGTTAGCCCCCTGTTTGCTTCAGACTATTTAAGTTCTAATTTAGACGACTCAATACGTGAGCATCAGCTAGATCTACAGTTCTTAAATTCTCCATTTGTATGCTCTTTGATAACCAGCGCCAAACACAAGGCATAATTAATTCCAAACCTCTGAGTTTGAATGTGCTGGGCATCTGGTGGCTCAGTTTGCTAGTGCACATACAGTGCAGCAGCATCAGCATGGGCTCGAGTTCTCCATCTTGATAATCGTGTTACATCTTCCCTGGTTCCTGTCATATTTCACTACCAAAAAAAGTAATACAACACAAAAGCAGGGTGAAGTGGCTGCTCTCCTTTTCAAAAAAACAAACAATCAAAGCTCAAAGGGGGAATTAAAAGGCTCCAGAAAGTTAAGAAGCATAATGATAATCCTTGTCTGTCTCTGCAGTGAGTCTTATCTCTGTCGTTGCATCTGGTCTGAGATGCATGGTGCGTGTTGTTTACGGGTAGGGGGGGAGACAATTTTGGAGAGAGCCCCCGTGTGGAGTCCTTGGAGCACCATGACTCAGCCAGGACCCCCGCGGCCTGAGCATCTGGACAAGGCATTCAACTCGGGTGATGTTTAATCTCAGTCTGGCTTAATAACTCCTAGTCCCTGGCTGCCTCCAGAGCTGCATATCTCACATGCCTGGTCTCTTTTTTTTAATAACAGAGAGGGGCAATATGGGACAATTTTACAGAACTATAAAAATGTGGGTGAAAATTAGGATATTGGTTTTACTATGAGCCGACATGAAGGGTTGAGATTAGTTTTTTTAAGCTGTGAGGATGGAAATAAGATCACAGCACCTTAAAGCTGCACTAGGAAAGATTTATGTGAAAATATACCACCATATCTTCCTAAATCATACAATAGAGCTACACAAAAAAAGAAGATCCCATCTGCACTTTAATCCGGTGTCAGGTATGGACACATTGGCATTGGGCCTCATGCAAGAACATTTTTGTATTCTTATCCTAAACTACTCTTTATCTATTTGAAGTTTGTACGTACAAGAGTTACAAATCAGATTCAAAAACTAAATAAAAAAAGAAAGAAAATATTAATACTACAGCTGTCAACAACGTGTTATCAAAGCAACTCTGTACAGTGATAGAAATACAGGTAATGATTTAACATGAGGTTAAAAAAAGTCTTAATGACTGATATGAGAGAGACGTGACGGTCACTGTGATATCTGACAGGATAATGTTTTAGCCTACAGTAGGTGAGGTTACACTGTCAGGTGCAACATAAGATTACACTGGACAGCGACCTGCATTACGACCCTAAGGCAGCTGTCAGAGTGAGAGAATTTTCCTACTGAAATGTAGAAGTCGCAGTGCTGAACTATACCAGTAAAAATCATAAAAACCTCTCAGTAAATTGGCAAGCCACGATGATGGACAGAATATATATTCATCCAGAGTAAAGTATTATGATTCTAGGTCAAATTAGTGTTTTTTTCCCCTGTGAATGCCACAAGTCTCATAAATTACTTGAACATGGCCCTCAAGAACAAATTTATACGTGCAACTGGTTGTTGCGTGAGGTCTAACGTCTCCTAGAGCGGTGAGAAAGGACCTGGACTCACCCATATTTGATCCATTGGCCTATTCCTTTCAGTATCCTTTAGTATCAAGTAACACAGACACACTGTGTTGGTTAACATGAGCCTGCTGAGTGTAATTTACTAACTTCACATTAACTGATTTGTGGATATCAAAGTTTTTCAAAACCGCAGTTTGGATCCTTCAACCTGCAACATTACCTCGTGCAGCTTTAATATTTGCTTGGAGAAGCGACTAAATTGTTCAACACAGACACACACAGACACGAGGATGGAGTTCACACAGAGAAATGAAGCGGTGCGCTCTTATTGAAAACAGACAACAACGGGAGACAGGGAGGAGAGAGAGAGACACACAGACAGAGGGATCGTCCTTTTTTCTTCCTCTACCGCATCCCTTTCTCTCCCCTCACCTTGTTGGGCTTGACAGCTCTCTGCAGGTTCTCGATCCATTTGTCTCTCTCTGCAGCTGAGCGACACGCAAAGCACTTGGTTCCCGATGCCGTAGTCACCTGAGGTTATAGCCAATGGTAAATTCAACAACCACAGCCATTAGTAACTATGGAGACTGCAACTAAGGCGCCAAAACAATGTCTTGTATTCACTCTCAACCTCTGTCATGTTCCACTAATGGAAAGGTGATGGAAAAAGCTGACAGACTCCTGCACCAATTATGTAGGGACTAGGGCTCATTTCAGTGTCTTTGTGTCTTTCATTTTTTCACATGTAAAAGAAATATATATTTTCAGTTCACATCAGTCTCTTTCAAATCACTGTCACTTGTCAGAACATTTTTGGTGCATTTTACTGCTCTGTACACTGTGTGTGTGAGTGTGCTGTTGTTTTGTCCTCACCGTGCCGCTCAGTTCTCACCTCAAAGCAGTACTCTTGTCCCAGGATGCTCGAGTGGACAGGTTTGATGATGGCGTCCTCGTCCAGAGTGAGGTCCAGCGCCTCTGCAGCGCTGCTGGGAGACAGCAAGGACTCATGGGAGTGGGACTCTTTGAAGCTCTGCATCAAACGGGTCCTGGGGGGAGTGATAGTTGTAGATGTATAGAAGGGAGACTCTTTTATTGAAGGTGGCACTCCAGTTCTGTTTACATGAAACTACAGGAAATTTCTGTTTGTCAGTGTATGTACATTGTATGTTAATTCTAAACCCTATTTAACTCTTATTCTGAAGTGCCTTTTTTGAACAAAACTAGAGTTTCTTTTTGTCTTCATTTTATCTTTGTGTAGTAACAAACAGCTGCACAATATGTTGAACTACGGTAATAAAGGGGCTATTAACACATCCCCAATATATATGTCATGAACATAGTTCCTCAATATTTGTCTGCAAAGTTGAATATAATCAAATTACACAAAATATTCCATATACATCATGGTGAAAACCACACAAAAACCCAGATTTCTATCCAAACAACACGTTAAGTTGTTGCCTACACTGACTTTATAATATTACAGACTTTTCAACATCTTAGCTGTTTTGGCTATCGACTACACTACACTTCAGGCGATGAAAAATAATGAACATTTATTCTGAATTATTTAAGAGGCAGCTGTAAAGTGGACAGACTGATGAAACTTCTAATGCCACAAGGTTCATTAGTTACATTTTTAAGAAAATTCAGTTGAGTGAAATGTGACTCTGATCCTATGCACTTATTCTTGTTTGACTTGTTATGTTAGCTATTACACAAAATCAAAAGGATATTCTTTCACAATGCGGTACAGCTTTATCTTATTTTTTTGTATTTACGTAGCTGTCTGTACAGATAAATCCAGTATTTTCCTTCAAAGCAAACATTTTAAACTCCACACACAATATTCAACGGTGATTCTCAATAATATCATAAATCCTGACACGCACATGCAAAGGGCTCGCACTAGTGAATAGGGTTTCCGCTAAAGCCCGTCCATCATGCTCACCTACACACTTACTCCCACACACAGATGTATGCATGTAAAATCATCTCAGCAGACAGTCACACAGTCACTAAGACAGATGTATGATGACACAGTAAGTCTAACCAGAGAGCGAGGAGGGATGGTCAGGTGTGATGATGCCCCTCAGAGAAGAAAGGGGGGATGAATATGAGGAAAAAGGAAAGCTAGAAAAGATACTGTATATCCTCCGAGCTGCGTCCGACTCTCAGCTTCTCCCCTGCGCTCGCACTGCTTTCGTCTATGTTCAATCATAACGTTCATCAACAGAGCACTGATTGCATGTAGGGGACCGTGGGGGAGAGAAACACAGAGGGAGAGAGAGAGA